ACACACACACACACACACACACACACACACACACACACACACACACACACAGAGACACACACAGAGACACACACAGAGACAGAGACAGACTGACCTGTGAGCGGCTGGATGCTGAGCTGAGGCTCCTGTGAGTAAACCTCATACTGAACCACAGGGTAAATATGGGGCAGAATGAACTGCACGCAGCCCAGCGTCGCACACAGCTGCCGGAGAGTATACGAGCCCGGCTTCTGACTCTGAGCAAAATCAAAGACGCATGAAAAGGTGGGGATTAACACACTTTTATCCTGTAAGCCTGTTTTTATGATTTAAATATTTTTTAGTAAGTGTTTTATTTTGATTGTTTTTATTTTAAAATTATTTATTTTAATTTTACATTTTTACAATTGAATTTTTTTTTGTAAATGTTTAATACATTTTTAGTAAACGTTTTATTCGGATTGTTTTATTTTAAGTTATCTATTTCAACTTTACATTTTTATGATCTGATATATTTTTTAAAAAGTGATTTTTGTTATTTTTCTTTTTACATTTTTATGATTTAAGTTTTTTAGTAAACGTTTTATTTTGATTGTTTTTAATTTAAAATGATTTATTTTTGTTTTACATTTTTATGATTTAATTAATTTTTAGTAAGCGTTTTATTTTGATTGTTTTAGTTTAAATGTATTTTTATAAAAAAATTAACAAGCATTTTATTTAAAGTGTTTTTTTTTTTATTTTAAGTTGTCTATTTTAATTGGACCTTTTTACAATTTAATATATTTTTTAAAAAGTGTTTTATTTTGATATTTTTAAAAAACATTTTTAATACAAAAACTACTTTTTTATGATTCATTTTTAGTAAGCGTTTTATTTTGATTATATTTTATATATATATATTATAATGTTTCATATACGTTTATTTTTATAATTTCTCTATGAACTCTCATTTGGGAAACCCTTCTATAATCTGATGCAATGAAACATTTCTTCTCACTGGTGCGGTGAAGACGATGCTGTTGTTGCCAGGCAACAGAGTGACATCACTGGCCCTCAGCATCTGCGCCGCATCCTCCATAGCGACGGCTGGCGCGGTGTTGGGCGTGTCCAGAGACGCGGTGCTGTCATGGCGACGCATCAGCAGGTGCATGTTCCTGCAGGCCACGCCGGCGGAGCTCAGCGCGTTATCAGATGGACTGTGCTCCAGGATCTCGCAGAGCTCCAGCGCAGACGCAGACGCAGACGCAGGGCTGGCTGCGGGGAAGGTAACGGTGCCGTCTGGGTTCTGAGCGGCTCGTTTCTGAGCCGTGGAGCCCGGCTGCTCCTGTGTGAAGTGTATGCTGGCGGAGATCTGCTCCAGCGTCACAGGAACGGGCATCAGACTGCAGAGACGCAGCTCCAGCTGCAGGGCGGCGCTCACATGCACCAGCGCCGAGGACGGACGGAAACGCAGCTCCTGCAGCCGAGTGAAGGAGCTCATGCTCAGAGCCACACGCGCATCTGTCAGACAGAGAAACATAAGAATGTTACAATGGAGCAGTTAAACAAAACCATTCAGTGATTCACTCGAGTCATTAATTAAAGCAACGCGAGAACAGATACAAATCTATCATGTGACCTGGAATTAAGTCGTACTCATTTGATACTTTTATAGTGTTTTTGTAGCCTAGCAGCTGTAGTTAGTTCACTCACAACAAAGTTGACCTTTCTGGGGGGGAAAAAATATAAATTAAAAAATAAATAAATCTCTTTACTTTTCTCTGTGAGTAAAGAGAAACAACAGATGGTTCAGGTGGCAGCTGTGGTTAATTCACTAAGGATACAAAGTTGAGCTTTCTGATTAATAAAAAAAAAACATTATTTTTTTTATATTTTAGCAATTTTATTTTTTTTATTTTAGTCAGAGTATTATATTTTTTTATTTTTAATGATATTTTTATAATTAATATATATTTCCTTGTTTGTTTTTTTACTTTTATTTATATATTAAACAATTACTTTATTTTATTTTCAGACTTTCTTTTTGTCTGTGAACATGGAGAAGACAGTTTGTTCAGATAGTTTGTTCAAATGAACCAGTTAGTAAAATGATTCAGTGATTCGTTTGAGTCAATATTGTTCTTAGACGAAAACAAATGGTTCAGATGGCAACTGTGATTAATTCACTCACAATATAAAGTTAACCTTTCAGATGAATAAAAATATATATTTAGATATATTTTTTTATAATTAATCAATTTACTATTTTATTATTTTCCTATATATTAAATATTTTTATATTTTATTATATATATATATATATATATATATATATACATTTTATT